AGAAGTTTTTCATATGAACCTTCACTTTGATCTATCATTTAATTTATTTTCTGCCCTGCATGCTATGATTTGTTTTGATGCTTTTTTCTTCTGTAAAATTAATAGATATCCTTATTCTTGTGATTTATTGAATTAGGATCAGATGTCTTCTTTGCAGTCTTCAATATCTGCAGGTATTGTTGCTATTATTTCTATTAGCACATGGTTCTTATTTTCCTTTGATACTTTTGCCTGTTGTACTGTGTTGCAAGGTACTCGTCTTTCTCCATCAGTTCAGCTGACCTTAAAAGAGCTTTTTTCCTTTATAGCTTTATCTTTGTCGATTTTTCATCTGAACTAGTTTCCCTTTCAAACGTATGACAGCAAGAGTCAATTAGGATATTAGCATCTTTTTTTGCTTTTGGTTGTTGTCTTTCTTCAAGATGACCAGTGAGTAATGTTTGTCCTGCTGCCTTACCTTCATCATTTACTTCTCAGTCAGAACCTGAACGTATTAATTCTTTCTAGTGGCCTAACACCGAAGTAGGTGAAATGGGTCTTTTCAACCCTCTCATTAGTTTTCCTAGTGTTTAAGGTGATCCCATTGCTGAATTGTTAGCCCTTATTAATCAACATATTTAGGCTTTTAATGCCTGTGTATGCTAGTGATCTTGGTAACTTTCATCATTGTGTGGATGCTTGATTTGCATAACATTTGCCATTTTCTCATTATTTTGAACAAAATTGATCCTTTGCTCAAACCTATATGCATTCAATCTTCAGAAGAAGCATCTGCTGGTTTCATTTTTCTTTTCTCTGTGATATGTTGCATTTTGGAATTTTGGACCAACATGGCTCAAAGTACTCTTCAGCCATCTAATATGACATTGCAACCTTTGGAGTCTCTCTTTATCCATTAATTTTCTTTGTTTTTGCTATAAGGGGTGTTTTATCAGTTCATTGCTCTTCCCTTTGGCTTGTTCTTGTTTCCATACAATTTCTGTTGTGTAGTCAATGCATTGATGATCAACCTCAGAGCTCAGGTTGATGGTCTTCTCCACTACCTTGCCATCCTCTTTCACTTTTAGATGGATGCTTGGCTTATTCTGACTTTTTCTGTCACATAGTATGCTGCACACACTCATTTACCACTCAACTGGCTACATTCTTTGGACCATCCAAATCTCAGTGCAACTGCTCAAGTTTCTGACCCATTTTTACCACCATTCTGTGTTAGTTCACAAAGACAACTGTTCTGTGGTTGCTTGCACCTACAATCCAGGTGGTATTCATTTTCATTATCTTTGTTTTGTTGCAGTCTCTCTACTTCTTTGGCTTCATTCTCAACATGTTCACTTTTGAGCCTGTCATATTCCTGGTGTGATGAACATTTTGGCCAACTCTTTCTCAAGTATCACTGCTTTTACCCCACAGAATGAATCTTTCACTTTTCATATCAACCAACCATTTTCTTCATATCTGCTGGTTTCCAGTTCCAGATTCAAATTACTTGGTAGTGGATGCTCGAACTTGGTCTTAAGAGAACCTCTTCTTTTATGCATACCCTCCATTCTGGCTTTTTTCCTTGTGTCCTAGCTAAGATCAATTACTCCAGGTCCTCCTATCTCTCCACCTTGGCCTGCTAAACCTATGGTTTCAGTGATTATGCCAACTTTTTCATGGGAAACCAGCCTTATTACTAACCTGAAATTTTTTTCTACTACAACCTCAAATGTTTCTTCTCAACAAAATTCAACTTCTACAACTTAATGTTTGGCTGTTGTTCAGTTCTTTGCCTGAGAAGCTAGATTTTTTTTCTCAGGAGGATCAATTTTTAGCCCATTCTTGCAAATGCTCTTTTGTTGTTTTTGAGTTTTGATTAAAGAGATAGTCATGTTCTTCTTATAATATGAGACTATACTTAACTAGATTCATCCAGTCAGGACTCTCACAGTTACATATATCCCTCCACCCTCTAGGCTGGTGTTCCATGAAAAAATGATACCCTGCAGAAACAGACAACGGGTGCCATCTGATTGCTAATAGCCTTTAAATGGGTACCTTTCCCATTTCTGTTTGCATGCCCTGTAAACTGACCCAGTAAATTGTCACCAAAACAGAATTGAAAGGATCAAGGCAAACTCTAGGATGGACTTTATAACTCAAGGGCAGTGAAAAGGTAGCACAAAATAGATTAGGGATGATACATATAAAACAGTTAGGTGTTCTTCATCCTGGTTGGAACTATGAGACATCATATGGAGAATGATCAACTATATTGCTATGTGCATTCTTTACATCAGGGTCCTTTTTCTTTCCTTTTCTGCCTTTTAACAAATATATAAAAAAAGTTACATATGGAACTGTAACATTCTTAGATGTAATCACATGTGGTGAAGGAACAGGAAGTTAGAGTCCAGTAGCAAGATGTTGTTCCATACCTGTAGAAGAAGATTCTCATAGGAATAAACCAGTAACAGCTACAGTCTGAACATGCCCCAAGGCTAAAATCTCATAAATCTACATCTAACAATGCTGGCCCAATTCTTTTCTTAGTGTCTTTATTTGATCCAGTCTTATGAGACTGGTCCACTTCACCCTTTTTTTCATGAATTAAATCAGTAGAATCTACTGTCTTTCTTGACTTCCTTCAACTCTGCTTGATTATATTTACAGTTCTTTCTTAGATTATTACCTTCCTACCTAAGAACCAAAATTTTGGTGAACAAGTGGTCCTTATGACTATCCGATTCCCTTCTCCGTCTAATTGTAGGGGTATTCCAGGCTTTTGTATTTCAGAGGTTTGTCTGTTTTGAATTGTTTTACATTTTGTAACAAAAATGGATTTCAAAAGTATTTGCATCTGAAATACATTCTCACTCACCTCCCCACAACTTGGAGATATGTGATTTCTATCATGACTGCAACAACAAAGTCTGGATTATGGTAGGAAAGCAAACTTTATATATGTTTTCCTGATGCAGTAAGGCACATGAAAGGTGGGAAAGTGAAGGACTGTGTAATTCATATTAACTTCTGATCATAGCAAGCTATATACTT